ACTTCAAAGTACAAATCTGATATTGTTATACGCACATAATCATATGTAAGCCATTTTCCCCCTCTACCGAAATATATGGTACACATTGCATTCATAGTTATTGGTGGTGCTGACGTATGTAGGTAGAGGTGCGTGCAGTATTAGTTCAAAGTTCATCTGCTTGGGTTGCTGCAGTAACACTTTAAAGTAATTTGATAACGTTATTGTGCATTTCGCCAAATACTGTACTAGAATTCAAATTCGAATCCATTTGACTATACTTCGGAGTACTTTACAAAGATTAGGATATATAGTATACTTGCCTTTGCCCAATGCGGAGGGACTGGGAGATGCGGGAACTGGACGAAACCTCATGACAACACAAAGTTACGTAAGTCCAAAATTGAGGCATTCATGGTTGGCGAAAGCAAAATCTAAAGTTGGAAATGGCGTTTAGTGTGTCAATGCACTTTGAACCTCAGATCAATCCATTTACATTCGATTTCAACGAGTCATCTAAAGAAGACTGCGCAGTGTTCCGATACAGTGATTGCCGGTAAAAGTGGACGAAAGTACACAAGGCGTTTATGAAGGAATTTGTATAAACAGTAGTACATTGGGTGGAAGTAAATGTACATTTAACTACAGTACAGTACGTAGTACTAGGGGGGTAATAAACTTCGTCAGTTCATCACCGGAGTACTAAGTATGCTCTAATTGGTCGTTTTATCCAGCATTTTCACCAATGACAGGATATCCAAAAATAGAATAAGTATCGGTTACCTAGTATCGAAGAGTATTATATATGAGGATAAATAGCGCAATGTACATTGGGGTGTATTTGACTTTTAAACCCTACAGTTCTATAAACCTTGTGATTCAACTGCTGTACAGTATTTGTTCCTAAATACCAATAAATAGTGTGTATCACCTGAACGGTAACCGCCGAAGTAGCGGATTGACCGAAAATGCAGGGGATATTTTGACTAGAAACCGTGGTAACTTGGATGTTGACCAAGATGGCACAGGACGGTCTGGATTTGGGTTCGCTCGTCATCCAGCGTCGTTGGAAGCTGTAGATGCCGACGGACTTGCATAGACCACTGCAGGAGGACGAGCTCTAGAATCGCAGGGACATAGGGACCAGCGGTATCTTCATATTTGACCTTGTTACGATAAATCCAGAGATGCCGCATCACGCCTGCTTTGAGCATCGTCCACAGAACCACGAGCATAGGAGCTACATGGATCCATTCTAGTGAAGGGTTAGCTTTCATCACGTCCATAATGTAGGTCCATTCAATCCTCAACCCAAATTGTAGTCATGGTTATGCAACCACATCCCAGAGTGGCAGGATCCAAGGGCAAGCCATCAGGGCATGCTGAATGGTTCGACCGCGTTGCAGTCATGGTACGGAAATTGCATGCAGTTTGGGTCGGCTAACTGCATATGGTAGAAACAGTACCAACTGGTAGCACTCGGTACTGCGCTTGGTTCCACATACAGAAATAGCAACAGCGACAACACGGCGGAAGAGCTGCATGTACTTATGTACCAATAATGTAGCATAAGTGCGCGGCATAGGGTAGTCGCGTGTGGACTTGGGTGGATTGAAGCAAACCAGTTTTATTTGCTTTGGAGACCATTAACGAACTTCTGTGAAAGTGTCCTTGTAGCTGGCGTAGAATGGTAGACGCCAAGGAACTTCCGCTTGGACCGGTAGGTGTGCGTCATGTCGAGAGTAATCAAACACTTGATGTGCAATAGTGGTGAGTGAGCGGTAGATAGGACCCAGTGAGTATGGTACAGGACCATCATACTCTAACCGTAGTATTGCAGGGACCACGATGTTGTCGAACTCGTCTGCGATGGGGTAAGAAAATCCCTCAGACAGTGAAACCCCGATCTCGTCATGTGCTCATACTGTACCACTCCTTGCCTTTATGGCAGACGGACGTAAGTAGGGTGATGAGCGGGCCATTCGCATGTGATGGGGTGCGGAACCGCGGATTGGATTGGCGCCAAACCAGCATCTCGCATAGTTGCGCTAAGGTAGGCTTTGATTGGCTCCGTTTATCCGCAGGTAGGCGATGCCATGTTTTCCACACGTCGTTCCAAAATGGTGATTCTTTAGCAATGCGCGCGGCAGCGCTGTGGGGGTTTGGGCGGAAGTAGACGCATGCGTGCCAGGCGTTGCGATGCGATGATCGACGGGTGGTGTGATACTCTGCACCCTGCTAAACGGTTGTACTGTTGTGCCGCTTGCATCAGAGACATGGAGCGTTGGTAGGGTCTTCTTAGGGGCTTCTACCCTTTTCTGGATGAATTTATTCACCAGTGACTGCCAGGACACAAGTTGTTTAGGCGGCACGACGATGACCACCGTGAAATGCCATAGAGTCGGAAGAGTAACCGTCTGGACGAACAGGCGCCGTCCTTGTACCGTGCGCGCACGCCAACTCCAGGTGCGAAAGGCGTCATATAGCTTATCTGTCAGTCGATTGACCTGATATCCTGCTGCAAGGTTGTGGCCCAGCAGTATCCCAAGGTAGCGGATCGGTCGACCCGATGCTGCAAACGACAGGCCCCGCATGACCGGTATTGGTTGATTCGAGTTCAACACCAGAAAGTCCGTTTTGTCGATGTTCAATTTGGCTCCAGTCGCCGCGCAGTCCTGGTTGACTAACTCCAGTTGCTCCTGTAGGTGGCAAATACGCCCAACCAACATGGTCGTGTCATCGGCAAACATTAGCGTCGTTGCTTTTTGTTCTTCTGTGAGCTCTATTCCATACTCATCATGGTCGTGCAGGAGTTGGTTTAGCGCACCGTCGAGCCCACCAGTCCTGGACGAAAAGTACCCCACAGGATGTCAGGCGGTCATCGAAGATTCTAACGGCCTGGGTGTTCGTTCGGTCTCCTCCGGGTCGCCTCCTGTAGTACTCGCTGGATCCTCCATGTCCCGGTTCTCCACCACCAGGAGGTCCGGAGGGTCACCTCGGCCCCCGAAGGGTCCACCATAGTCACCCACATTCGATCCACTTCCAGGAGGTGCGGGAGAATTCGTTCGACCCGAGTAACCACCCCCTAGCCTCCCAGGGAAAGTAAATCTCCGCCACCGGGTTCCGGACCATAGGAGGCCAGAAGAGCATACCCCGACCCGGTTTCACGAGGGGATGGTTGTGTGTACCCTACTCCGCGAAGCTGGTCATAGGCCCCTGAGGACGGGTAGGAGTTGGCATCTCGACACGGGAGCCGCCGTCCGAGCAAATGGTACGGCTTGGGGTCCCGGACCGTAAATATCGCTGGCATCTGGAGCGAAGCTGATTCTGTCAGCACTTCAGTCTGCTGCATAAAACAGGTTGGGTCAAAGGCTCGGCGAGGCGTAGACGTGTTTGAGCGGGTGGTCGGGAGCAAGGGCACCGTAGTAAACGTAGTATGCGTGATCCCGCTTCCTTTGCACATGCGCCTGGATCAGAGTGATGAAGTCCTGGACCGACCGTTCACTGAACAGGGTAGCTTCTTGGTCCCTCAACTGCAATTTCTCCGTTTCCTCTACTTTGCGCAGCACCTCTTCGTTGGCGTGCCTGTCCCGTTCCAGCTGGGTCACGGCACGGCCATGGGAGGCTCAACGATTCGGTCGCGTCGCATACCTGTTCGTAAATTAGGTATTTATTGTTGACTTGGTTCCAGAATGGTGAAACGCCAAAGCGCATCAAAAT